TATTAAGAAATGTATTGTAATTAGTTTTTTAAAAGATACTGCAATGCTTTTGGTTTTTATAATTTATTCCCTTTCTAGTTTCAGCTTCAATCAACAATTTCCAAAGTTGAATTCTAAGTATTCATAAAAATATATTACTATCAATTGCATATTAGGGGTATAATTTTATATTCCCAATAACTTAATACCCCATTTTTGAAAATCATTTTCCACCATAAACAACTTGCTGATATTTTTACCATTTAAGTAGTATTTTTATTACAATAAAATTGCCTTCAGCAACACAGTGACTTCTAATGTGCTATTTATTTGTTATTCTTACAACAGTATCAGTTTTAGACTGATTCCATGTGTTTGTTCCAGTTTGCTCTCTTTCCGGGGAAACTATGACTCATAGAACCAGTCTAGTATAGTTTGGGATGATATAATTAATCTAAAATAGGAATACATGCTGTCCAATTTGGAAATAATTGAATTCAAAAAATTCCTCTGACTGCCAAATTGAACTCGGCCTATCGGCCTCGTCCAATTTTGTCAGTCCTCGGAATTCTTTTCATCCAATTGTTTCCAAATTGGACAGCATGTAGTCCTATTACAATACTAATTATGCTGATTATTTGATTACTGTAATAATTGCTCTTATATATTGCACCATTAAGGCAAGGATCAGAAGTACAGGTACAGAAAGTTTAAATCCTTTAAAATACTTGTGCTTATACTTAGAGTCGTTAAAAGCCTGACTGTGGTCTAAGTTGTGCCTTTTACATATTGCGTTTCCATGCAATGAAATTTTTAATTGATGGAAATGTCATGTTGCGAAATACCGCCAAGACAAAAGTTGCGACGAGTCAACTGCCATCAATCAAACACCTCATTCTACTTGGATGTACTCAAACTCATTGCAATCGCTTTCGAAACTTTCCTTCATGATATCTGTTTGAGAAAGTTTGATAGGAAAGCCAACTCACTGATCCAAACGTGTATAAATGGCGTCAACATGAATGATCGACGGTAGTCTATTGCGAGCTACACGACTCGATTTGTGTCTAGGGTGGCCGCGTAGTAATTCAAACGGCGGTAATATGAGTTGTATTGCCAACACTAGGCTTGTGTTTTCCAAGTTGATGAAAAATACTAATGATGGTATATTGAACTGAGTAGAGTGCAATTTGGTCTGAAATCAAACGCGCGATTACAAAATCGCACGACCGCGTATTGGGAGTGCGATTTGTAATTGCAAGTTTTATTTCAGACCAAAATTGCATGACACGAAGTTCAATTACCACTTAATCGTATTCTTTTTGTACGCAAGAAAAAGACACAATAAAGAGTGCAGAATAATCAATTTAATGTAGTAGAAGAACTAAATGCGAACAAAAAAACACCTAAAAAAACTTTTTTATTTTTTTTATCACATAGCATGTACTTGTTGACTTTTAGCAGTAGCTATGTCACTCACAAAAACAGCTCTACTATATTACACTTTATTTTGTTGTTTACTCTATTATACTATTAAGCGCACTAAATACCTGTGAACAATGTGTAACTATAAGATTGCATAATTACAGCCAATTGATGATGATTCATGTGGCAAACATATTCAGCAGTATTATAGTTGCATTTATGTAAATTAATGGGCTTATTGCACAGTTATGGCAATCAGTTTGTTATCCAACATTTTTATTAGGTTTCCTGTGGAAACTCGAAATAATGGCTCACAGCAAGATTTCCAGAAGGTTGCTGGCCTTGGGGTGGGCCATAGGTAGGACCATGGGTAGGCCATGGCCTAGTCCCAGGGTTTATATACATCCACGTATACACTGCATGGAAAGAGCATATCAAATTCAAAGTGCAAAAAAGGTTAATAACTAGCGAACATATTGAGTGATTTTTCAATCACAATCAAATACTACAAGCTTTGCATTGCATAATTTCTGGGGCCCGCCTTGCTTGGCAGTCATAAGCTAGAGGTTATCACATAATTGACCATGCACATTACTTTAAGCGAGCAAACTATAACAACAACAGTGTAAGAAAAATATTTTAATACTGGCGAGTTTTGAATTCACATCTTGTTGCAAGGAAATAGATCTCAAAAAATTAACCATTGATCAAACTTAGAGAATATGATCTTAAATTTAATGATTTTGATTTTCAAAAATCAACATTTTTTGTGAAAACCAGCTTCTTGGTAGGGCAATAATTGCCAGCTATATAACGAACAGTAATCATTTATCTGGTTTAACTAATTTTTTTCGTTACCCTATGATTTAACTCTGC